TATTAATTTCCCCAAGCAGCGAGATACTTAAGAATGTAAAGATAACTGTAAGCCTTGATTATAAAAGATTTACTGCTATTATTAAGGATAAGCATGCCTTTAAAGATCTTTCTGGATCAAGGATGGAGCTCCTCATACACAGTACTATTAACCCTGCCGGCTCAGGTGCATGCCCTCATACATTACTGAACACAAGTTCAGGTATTTTCTCTGTTTTCTGCACAGCTGCAGTAAGATGTTTTTCAGTGTGAAGGAGTTGCCACAGTTCACTTTGTTTTTCTACACAGGCACTATTTGAAGGTAGATGAATATACAGGCAGCCAAATAACACTCTCTGAGTGCATCCATGGTTATGGGGAAAAGTGTCAATCACGTTCATTCTACAGTATTCCTTCTGGGGGGAATGTCTGCTTCATGGTCATGGAATGGCATGTGCTGAGTATTTGTGCAAGAAGGTGGGAATTCAGTTTGCTGAGGTACCTTCCACTTACTATTCCCAAAAATTATGAGCAATGGCACAACAGCACATTTTCCCTTAATTACTCCAGGTCCTTATGAGCTTTCCATCAGAAAAATGTGGCTCACGCTGGGTGAGCAGGAAACCCTCATGATCTCAGGGCCCAAGCTTGGTCTTCACTGCTGTGCCTTCTGAGAGCAAGTAAGTTGGGTGCTCTTGACTCTCACACCTGCTCAAAATACCTGTCATGGAAACCCCAGAAGCAGACAGTGAGTGGGCTCTGCTCGGGGCCTGCATTATGCCTGTGTGCAGAAATTTGCAGCCATCTCCCAGCTCCCCAAGTGCCAATACAAGTAAAGCCAATGGGTGGGGGGAAGAGGCAAAACAACTGCTCAGAGCTCTGGTGCAACATTCTCACACATCTGAAGTGTTTTCCAAAAGCTGGCAGGTTACTGAAGGGGAAACTGATGCCTGTAGTGATTTATAGTCTAGGTGAGCCTTAAACAGGGTTCTCCTCCCAGAAACACTGGCCCTGGCAGAGAGGCTGTGCCTTCATCCCTGTTGCCTTCTAACAAGGTAAGAAGATGACATCCAGACAGCCAGCTGGGGATACCTGCTGACAGCACCAGCTTCTCTTATCCTCTGTTGAGGGAGCTAAGTAAAGCACTTCGCTATTTCTAGAATGTCTGCTAAATGCAATCAAGACCTAGTACTACAATTAATTGTGTGCAAAGCCAAAAGTACACAGCACCTGCAACTTACTGCTGAAGGGAGAAGTCACTTCCGTGACACTAAAGGACAAACCCTTGGGAAGGTGCAGAGAGGCCACTCAGCACTTTCTTCTGCCTCCTCCAGCATCAGTAAGGTGTAATCTACTGCAACCCTCTGCAGTCCCTGGGATCTTTTCACAGTTGGAACACATCCCATTTTAGCCTTTCAAGTGCAGCTTGTATCAATTTGCCTTGGCCTGTGTGCCTGAGCTCCCACAATGCAGCCCCATTGGGGTTGACTTAATTTAGACCTGCAAAACTCCAGCCAAAATTCAGAGACTGGAGGGAGAGAGCAGCTGCCCAAAGACCTGGGGACACAGGGCAGCAGTCTGTATGGCACACAGTTGTGCTGTCCTTCTACCTTTTATTCAGTTATTATTTCAAATTACACAAAATCTTTGCTTCCTCAGGAGCACAGATACTCTTCCAACACCCTCTCCACCTTCATCTTTATTCTGGCCATAGACAGATTCCTCCAGTCTCAGTCACTGATCCCAGAAGTTTATTCTGTTCTGGGAAATGCCAGGTCATGCTAACCAGCTACACTATATAGTTTTGTGTGCAGCTGTTCCCTTCTGAGCTTAAAGCAGAGTGCAGAATGAAGTCTCACAGGAACATTGCACTGATACACAAAAGCACATCAAATGGTGCTGAATGTTACAGGGGTCTCAACACTACACTTGGGTGCTTCACAGAAACAAACACAATAGGCTGTCAGAGTCAAAATTCCTGAATTAAAAAAACCCAAAGAAACTACAAAACCTAAAAAAGTCCCAATACCTTACAGAGTTAAGGAAGAAAACCACTATTGACATTAAAAGCATGGAGTGGACCACTGTCAATGCCAGCTCTTCAGCACTGTCTTGTTCAAGTCAGTCTTGATTTCTCTTTCCCACTAAGCAAACCCAGGCAGCTGCTAAGACCACAAAGTACAGGTGGAGGTTACTGACCAGCAGTGCCCACATTGCAGAAGCCAATCATCCAGGAAGAGCCTCGTGGTGGTGTGCCTGACCCAGCTGTGTACAGAACCTGCTGGAGCACCCAGAGCACAAAGGACTCAAATGACCCATTTCATGGGAGAGTGGACACAGCTCCCCATGCAGAGAACCCAGGCCTCAGGGCTGCCCTACCTCCTCACTGGGCTGACCCACAAGGAAGGGCTGAAACTGCTGCAAGCAGAAAAGAGGGAATCTCCCTGATGTTCTCCCTAGCAAGGCAGTGAGACTGTCTTACAAAAAACATGCACTATCATACCTTTGCTCCTCTCTACCATCTGCTGCAGTGGTCTCTGTAGGACACTCCCTTTTTCCAACTCCCCCAAAGATAAAATGAGGTTCACCATCCTCCTCCTCAGGACACAATGGGCCTTGGTAAGAGCAACCCCCTTGCCCTGCCTCTACCACAGGTGATCTGAACTTCCCTGCTGTCCCCTCTCACTTCTGGGGGACTACAGTCTACAAGAAGCAGGGCAGATCCCTGTTGCCAGAGCACAGTGGGGAGGTGTATGGCCAAGGGACAGTTTAATAAACAAGGAAGGTGTTTATGGTCTTTGATACAGAGGAAGATGAAGAATATCAACCCTTAATGCTGCTGTTTGGCTACTACCTGAATACTGGGCAAATGACTGCAGACTACAGTGCTGCCTTTGGAAAATAAGGTGAGAGGAGAAGAGTGAACTGTAGTGGTTTTCATGGAAATGTCCTTGTGGGTTGTGAGTGCTCAGCTTACCAAAGGTGGGAGTGCTGTGATCACCCCTTCCTTACTTCAGACTGCAGGAGTGCCATCACTGAAACTACCAAATACAAACCCAGTACCCCAAGCGTAACCAATAATGAGTGTAATTCTACCAAGAACATGCTTAGTCTTTAAAAAAAAAATAAATCTAAATGAAAACATACTCTTGGAGCTTATGAAGCTATTGTGCTGCTTGTCATGACTTTGTGCTCAGTGGTACGGTGACTTAAATGTGACATTGTACCAGGTGATAATCTATAGAAACTACAGAAATTACTGGAATAAGGCAAAAGTGGTTTGACTTACATAGATCTGTCTGCATCACAGTTGTTTACTGTGCCTTCAAACAGGTTAAAGGTTTTATATCAGAATTTTTTCTGGTGTGGCTGTCCTGGCTTGTGCCTCCATCCTTGTCATTAACTGATCCTCCTTTCAGCTGTGAGTAGTTCCTCAACTACCTTGAAGTCTTTTTGTAAAATTTGTTTTGGTTTGAATGTTGGTATGTTGCCCCACTCAGTACTTTGTTCTGTGATCTGTAAACTTCTTGTTCTTTGATGATGGTCTGTGATGACAGAGCCTTGTGTAAGGAAAAGTCAGAGGGAAGGAAGGTGAGAAAAGTAACTTGAACAGCTATAGGAAAGCTGTGGCCCTAAAGCAGGCTGATGCAGCCTTCCTCTCAAGTCAGGCTAAAAGGGCAGGGGAGGCTTCAACAAGGTGGAGATGGATGTGTTTCTGAAAGGTGAATCTTGCTAGTCTTGTTCTACACAGGTTTCTCTGAAGTAGTTCCTTGCTGCTTTGAAACTGAAAAGTGCTTTGCCTCAAAACCAATAATTATTCTGTGATTGTCCTGTGAGATGTGGCAAAGGAGAAAATAGCACAAATTCAAGCACTGCAGTTCTCCTTTCAGAGTCTGCATGTTAACTGCACATAGAGCAGGACAGCTGCCTGTGCAGGAGGAGTGGGATAAGCAATACTGTTGTGCAGGCTGGTAATCCTCCCCAGGGCCCCCAGTTTGTCCTAAAAGCACTGTGATAAATAATCTAATGAATTGCAGTGATGAAGAGAAACATCTCCTAGGTAGATAATAATAGGTAGTAAGTGCCTAAATACTTGTGAATCAGTTAGAATAAAAATAATTACTCTATTAGTATACATCATAGGTATATTAAAACCTGCCGAACATCATTATGAGGGAGCATGTGGTAACAACATGAAACTGATACAATATTCAACAGCAGCATTGTAGGAGCTGAAATCCCTCTCCTCCCATGGAGGATGTCAATAAGAACAAAAGTTGGATTTAGGTGCATCCTACCTGACTGCTTGTTGCAGAAAATAAGCATCTGTAATCGGTTATACTGTTCAGAGGGAAAGGAAGAGATCAATAAGATAAGTCAATTTTTAAATGCTCTGAAACAAGTGGTTTGTGACAATTTTTTCCATTGCCCATTAGATGACATAGGGGATATATCCTGCAAATGTCTTCTTGTCTGACTAATCTTTTAAGGCTGTCATTTGGCTCGCCTTGAATGTCGCATTCCAGGAGTTTTAAAGGGAAAAGGATGATGGCACTAAGGGATGCGGCTGTTGGGCACGGAGGGGACGCGGACAGCTCCGGCTGTCGGAGGTGCGGTGTCTCCCGGCAGCGGGGGGGATAAAACGCTGCTGCGCCAGGGATGGCATCATGGATCCCACCCCGGCGTGCTCCCTCCTCTCCCTGGGCGCGGGGCGGGCAGCGGCGCGCACTGAGGCCGGCTCCGCTGCCCCGGCACGCAGAGGGGCCGCCGGGGCCAGGCACCCGCCCGGGGCACAAGAGACGCTTTTAAGGACCGTACTTCTAAAAGCAAAGACGGCTTCGGCGAGAGGCTGAGCCCGCCGGCGAGCCGGCAGCCCCCGTAACCCCTCCCCTCGGTGGCGGCTCCCCCGCACCGCGGTCGCCCGCCGGCATCCCCGCCCCGCGCTGCGGAGGAGCGTCCCCCGCCCGCGGCAGGAGCAACCCCGGCTAGGGGCGGAGCGGGGGGGTCGCCGGGCCCGGTTACCTGTAGGAGGTGGTGTGGCCGCCGTCCGCCTGCGAGCGCGGCCGGAGCTGCTCGGGGCCGTCGACCGCCGGTCTCCCGCCGCCGCCGGGCAGGGCGCAGGCGGCGCGTCCCGGGGCGGGCTGGGGGGCGGCCCCGTCCCTCCCGCCGCCGCCGCTACTGGCGCTGACCCAGGGGAAGTCGTCCCTCCTCGGGAGGGGCCACGCTCTGAAGTCCCGCCGGTACTGAGTCTCCGCCGCGAAGGGCTCTTCGGCGGCGGCCGCCCGGCTCTTCCTGCGGCCGCTCGGCTTCCCGGCGGCCGGGTCCCGCGGGCGGCGCGCCGGGGCGGGCGGGCGAGCGCTGCCCCGCGGAGGGGCCCCGCTGCGCTGGGGCGGCCCGTCCTCCTGCTCCTCGATGTCCGAGTAGTTGTGGATGGTGAGCGGCACGGACAGGTCGGACTTGTCCAGCTGGCTCCAGAAGCGAGCCAAGCAGCACACCCGGCTGATGCAGGGCCAGGCCATGGCCACGGCCGCAGCCCCCGCCTCGCCCGCAGCGGCGCCCGCGGCTCCGGCGCCCGCAGCCGGCCGCGCTCCCGGCTTCAGCCCTCATCGGCGGCAGCCCCTCCTCCCGCCGCCCCCTTCCCCGGTAACGACACCCCCTCGCCGGGATTACGGCCCGCACACGTGACCCGGCTGCCGGCGGGAGCCCCGTGCAGCTGCGGGGGCTGGCGGCGGTGCGGAGCGTGGGGAGCGCGGCCGGGACTGGACCCTGCCGGGCTGCGCCCCGCGTCTGCCTCCCGGCGGGGACCGCCTCTGCCTGCGCTTCTTCGGTGTCTGGCGGTGCTTTCGGAGCCGCTCTGTGCCCGGGAGCGCCCAGTGACGGGCACCGGCCAGGCGTGGAACGCTGCTCCGTGCTAGCTGAGTGGTGCTGCTCAATTATACCTTCAGGCAGCCGTAAACACTTAGGATTAGAGAAAGCGTTTGTATGCGAAACCTGGCGCTTTTAAAATAAGTGATCTGGGTGAGAAACAACAGCCTTGCGATGTTGGTTTCCAAGAGCTGCGTAAAAATCCCCACCTCTCATAATCCCCCTCCATTTACATTAACAGTTTAACCAATTCACTTTTAAAATACTATCTATTGACCAAAATCCAAGCATCTATTTATGTATCTTAATATCAGACCTGCATCCTTTACTGTTTGCTGGAGACTGCAAATTACATCTTTCCTTTTGTACATTCAGGTTCAAAACCAAACATCCCTGGCACAAAACATTGAAACTCACAGAACTACGTCGGGAATAAAACCAGGCTTTTGAAATTGGACATTTTATGGACTGTAGCCACTTATTACATAATGCTCCTCCACAATTCCCCATTCAGTGGGTTATTACCAAAGCTGGAATCTCCCAAAGGGTCACCAAACTGTGAAATGCAAGGCTGTAAAAGTGAAGAATGCAGATAAACTGATATGCCACCTATTGGAGAATCTATTGAAAGGCTAATAGGACAGGCATTTCATTTCAGAATTTAATAATCCAATTACAGGTGGTTATCTGATAAGCAAGGGGTAATGGCTTTACATTGAAAGAGGGCAGGTTTAGATTAAATAATCTTCCTAATGAAGGTGGTGAGGCCCTGGTACAGGTTGCCCAGAGAAGCTGGGGATGCCCCATCCCTGGAAGTGTCCAAGGCCAGGTTGGATGGGACTTGCAGCAACTTGGGATAGTGGAAAGTGCCCATGGCAGTGGAGTAGAAGGAGATGATCTTTTCAACCCGACCCACACCATTCTGTGAAGATTTATTAAGAAATTAGTTATGCAATGGAACTTGAGAAGGTAAGATGTATTGCTTTGTTTCAGCTAAGCAGTTTCTATCCTAGTGTATTAGCACCTCACTTCAGATTTGCAATTGCTCCTGGGGTGAAGGAGAACTAGAAATGTACATATGGACTGGGACAGAACTTCTCCTTGGGTGTTTGGCCTCTCTCTGAAACACAATCATGGGATAAAAAGAAATTCCTTTGCAGATGATCCTGTTGTCCTAAATATCTGATTTAGCACTTGTCCCTGCTGCTAACAGTTTAACTTTCACCATACCTCCTCCTCACATGCTAGCTGGGGCAAGGAGACTCAGAAATGTCAGGTAAAATTTGATCCTAACACAGAACTCTTGTCACAATACTATATAGGCTATTGGATGCTGTGTTTCATTTGTTGTCTGAAAACCCCACAAATGTAATTCTACTTTTAGAAATATTTATGTATTATATATATTATTTAATATATTTAGTATGAAGGAAGACATTTTTTAATTTTCTACTGCTCTCAGTTCAAGAAAACTGCTCTATTCTATGTTGTAATTTTTAAAAATAAATCTTATATGGTAAAGAGAAACAGACTTTACAGCCATGTGAGAAAACAGAACATCTGTTTTATCATGTTATCACTGGCACAGTACAAATGACACTCTGATCCTTGTTCCTAGGCCTGACTTAGCAAAATACATTGGCGAATAAATCGGATGTCTCTGCTCATCCTGTGCCTGACGCTTCCTAGTACTGAGTTCAGCTCTGGCACTGCATGTCTCAGAGCCCACCTACAGCATCAGGGAGTGCTTTGAGCAGCTGCTCATCACAGCTTGTAGGATGAAATTGGCACAAAGGCTAACTCAGACAGGAAAACCAGAAGATGCTGGATGAGATTAAAAAGTTGCCTACATTTAGAAGATTTGTCATGATTAAAAGCTTGGGAGGAGGAGGGGTGGAATACTGCAACACTAAGACAAAAGCCATCAAATCAGAAAGCAAAACAGCTCTTGCTGCCAGGAATGGGGGCTGAAAGCTCAAAGAGTTTTAACACTAAAATTAAATTCCAATAGAGCAGATCACTGAAACAAATTATTCCTTAAACATGGCAAGGGCAAAGCAGACTTAAAAGGATGAAGAATTGTGTCTCTACATGATTAACCATGATTTTATACTTATTGCAATTTTCCTACACAAACACTAGCTGTTGTCTCTGCCAAGTGTCCACATAATCACCACTTTGTATTTTTATTCACAATAATCTCTTTGAAAAGGGAGGGGAAAGTCTTTCCTTGTGGTTGGTTTTGTTTTAGATGATTGGTTCTTTTTGTTGTTTTATTTTTCCCTGGGGTTGGATTTTGGGCTTTTTTTGTCATTCTTCTAATTTGTCAGTCAAAGGTGACTAAATTTTGAGATACTGACACGTGCTGATGCCACACTTTTCAAGAAGGGTATTTACTTGCCAGCAAGGTATCTTATGTACTCTAGTAAGCTGTTGTAACTTCAGGGCATCCCATGTTTGAGTGACTTGAGAACTGGTTTTCCTATTGCAGTTTTAAAGTCATTTTGGACAGAAAAAGTAGTTTGTCTTTCCCAGGCAATGCTGCAGAAAGGCTCAGGTGCAAAATGACATGAAATCCACTGCTTGGTAAAGATTTTTGTACAACCTTACATATGGTACACACCTCTAGGGTCTCTATAAATGAGGAAAATGGAGATACTGAACAGCCTGTAGAAGGGTGAATGCTCTTATGTTTAGTTAATGTGAAGCTTAGGCATCAGTCCCTCAAACCACAGCCACTGGCTGGAAAGCTGGTGACTTCCAAACCTCTGTGGCAGTTCCAGGATTCTTTTTTCAGGTGCTTTGAGTCCTTTCCTGCAGGCCGAAAGGGTGCAGCAACATGCTGCCGGGAGGGCAAATACAGCACAGGTGGGACTTCACTCCCTGCAGACCATACAGGGCCAGGAGGTACTGGTGCTGTGTTGAAGAACTTAATTGCAATTTTGGCTTATCCTACTAGACCTGTAAAATATAATGTTCTTCAGGTTCTATGCAGCATTACTCCCTGCTGCTTTCAGCCAGGATCTCTGAAAAACTCTCAGCAAATAATATAATTGTTGAAGGGACTAAGTAAGTTGTTGAAGGGACAAGAGGTAACACAAAGAAGAGAAATGGGGAGAAAAAAGGAATGAACACAATAGATGTAAACCCAGCATGTGAAGTAGTCTGAGGTATGGATTTTCAGGTTCTCTGGCATGAAATGCTCCCTGAGGACAAGCCTGTTCAGTGGCCATCATCTGCTGCTGCTGCTGCTGGCTTCTCCCTGGCTGTGCTGTGCTCTCGCTGCATGTTCGGCTGCCCTCTCTCTGCTGCAGGCAGGGCTGCACTGTGGCTGAAGCTCTGGGAACTGGCATGCTTGGCCGGAATACCACAGCACAGAGCAAAAAAGGGGAGTAAGGGATAGACTGGAAACTGAAAGCCAGGAAACTTTAGGAGCAGAGCAAAGGAATATTAGATCCTCCAGCTCCTTCATTTTTAAGTGTTTATGGCGACAGGCACATGAAGGTTACAAATCCTCAAGTGCCTCATTTTTCCAATGAAGAAAAAAAACTGAACAAGCACTGGCCTGGGACAGGGAGTTTACACCAATTTTGTACTCCATCATTTATTAAAACTAATGCATTTTTTACTCCTTTTCCCCACAGAAAATATATTTTATGTGAGGCGCTGCTGTAAAATAAAAACACCCACAAGTTGCTTCTTACAAATGCAACCTGTTCTTTGGCAGGTCAGTCCATTGGAAGGACAAACTCAGCTGACAGGAAAGAGTTAAGGGCTTGAACCCACCAGCTTGTGTCTGGGCAGATTCCTCAGCCTTTTGCAATGGGTTCAATATCATCCTTGTACAACAGGCACAGAGTAGCAGTACACCCCAAATCCAGTTATTACTTGTGAAAGAGGAACATTGGTCATGGTACTACCCTCAGGTTTACTTTAGTAGTTACTTTTGGTGACAGTGTTGCTGATCTCAGATTTTACTGAATCTGCTTCTTTTCTAAAACTGGCAGATTCTGAAGCAGATGTTACAGGTTTAAAATGCTTAGAAAAACCTTAAAGGAAACTAACAATACAGCACAGCTTAAAGAACACCCTTCCACCCCACCCCCAAATCAGTGTAGTGAAAGAAAACAGAAAGCAGTGTAACTCACAATAGAATATCAAAAACCACAGTATGTCATTCTTCCCCTGCACGTAATTATGAAAAGGATGTATCATTGTAGTAAAATCTAACAAGATCTGAAAGCT